AGAGAAATTCAAGCTGCAGATGACAAAACGTTGCCTGCTGAAAATGAAGAAGACTTGCAGCACTTACTGATGAAGATCAAAAACTACGGTCTTCAGTGTGGATTATACCTCAACATAAAGAAAACAAAAATCCTCACAGCTGGACCATTAAGCAACATCATAAAAAATGGAGAAAAGACTGAAGTTCTCAGAGATTTCATTTTACTTGGATCCACAACACCCATGAAGCAGCAGTCAAGAAATCAGATGTACTGCACTGGGCAAATCTGCTGCAAAAGACCACTTTAAAGTGCTAAAGAGCAATGTCACTTTGAAGATTACAGTGCGCCTCATCCAAGCCATGGTATTTTCTATCCCCTCATATGCATGTGAATAGGACAATGAATAGGAAGACCAAAGAAGAGTTGATGTCTTTGAATAGTGGTATTGGTGAAGAATACAGAAAATACCATGGACTGCCAGAAGAACTAATAAGTCTGTCCTGGAAAAAGTACAGCCAGAATGCTCTTTGGAAGCAAGAATGTCCAGACCTCGTTTCACCTACTTTGGTCATGCTGTAGGAAGGGACCATTCCCTGGAAGGATATCATGTTTGGTAAAGTAGAGGGTCAGCAAAAAAGGGGAAGATCCTCAATGAGATGGATTGACACAGTGACTGCAATGATGGGCTCAAGCATAGCAAGGATTGAGAGGATGCCTCAGGATCAAGCAATGTTTCATTCTGTTGTATATAGGGTCACTATGAGTTGGAGTAGTTCATTAGCACCTAACAACAACAATAATAAAGTTAAATGTATATTTAACATACAACCCAGAAATTCCACACTTAGATATTCACCTAAGAGAAATTAAAATAAATGTCCACGCAAAGACTTGTACATTGTTCGGGTTACCTAGTGCCATTCTGACAGAAATAAACCACAAATGGGATGGCTTCAACAAACAGGAGTTTATTCTCTTCCAGTTCGGGAGGCTAGAAGTCCAAGTCCCAAGTGCCACGCTCTAGGGGCTCTGTGAAAGCCCTTCAACCTTGGGCTTCAGCTCTGCCTCCTGCTTCCAGCCCACTGAAGCTAGAGGCATCTCTTCACTCAGGCAGCTACTGGCTGCTGAGGCTAACAAGCCCAAGGTCAACAAACAAAATAGCACAGTCCCAATGTTACCAAACCACACCACAGGCCATTAATTCAAGTCCAATGAAAGTCCCAAGATCAACCAAGCATGGCAGGCTGCTGAACAACGACTCAGCTACACATACGCTTCAAGCATGCCATAAGCTAGAAACCAGTCCCAAAGCTATTTCTTATATACAGGAAGCAGACCACATACCCAAAGCAGCTACTCGGCTGCTCCAATAGATTCCACCATGGAGTTAATTACCTATCCCAGCATGGGGAATAAGTACACTCAGCTGCCCAGCCACTCAACCAGGTCCAGCCAAGTTGACACACAAACTTAGCCACCACATACATGAATATTCATAGTAGGCTTACTATTTACTACCCAAAGTTGAAAACAACCCAAATAGCTAACAACAGGTGAACGGATGAACAAACTGTGATATAGCTATATAACAGAACACTACTCAGAACTAAAAAGGAATAAATTACTGATATATTAACAACATACAAGAATTTTTTAAATAAATAAATAAAAGAAGAGAAAAGAGGGCAGACACTAAAGAGCATATACTATCTGATTCTACTTAATGAAACATTGGAAAAGACAAATTGAATTTTAGTGTAAGAAAAAGATCAGTGGCTACCTGGGAGTAGATCAAGACTGACTGAGAAAGGGGAGAGGGAACTTTTTGGAGTGAGGGAAATGTCCTACATCACTGAGGTAATGGTTACTTGGATGTAACATTTGTCTAAACTCTTCAAAATATGACTTTTAAAAATGAGTGCACTTCATTGCATGTAAATTATAGCTCAATAAAGTTGTTTTTTTAATTGGAAAAGTAGATTATGCAGTGATCGTTTCAGCAGCACATATACTAAATTTGGAATGATACAGATATTAGCATGACTCCTCAGCAAAGGTAACACACAAATTCATACTTTTCAGATTTGTAATTTAGTTTATTGGATGTGATAGACTTATTGTAGTAGAAAACTCAGAATGATGATTAAATGGGGGGAAATACTGCATGAAATTTGTTGTAAGAGGTATAGAGACTTATTTTCTTTATTAATATTTTCCTGTAAGAAAACATGTATTTGAAAAATGGTTTCTTGTGTCAAATATTTGTGCAATCAGAGCTGAACTATAAATTTTTCTTGTAATATCTAGTTATTTTGAAACATTTATAATGTATTTTTGATACATGACCAATTAAATTGGTAAAACAAAAAAAAGTAGGTGGTACAGAATAAAGAAGAGTGGAGAAAATCAAAGACACATGGAAGCAATTAATCCAAAGGACTAATGTACCATACAAATTACAGCCTTCTAGACTCTGAGACCAGAAAAACTATATGATGCCCAGCTACTACCACCAACTGCTCTGAAAGGAATCACAATACAAGGTCCTGCATAGAGTGAGAGAAAAATATGGAGCTCAAAATAATAAAAATGACCAGACATACTGGTCTGACAGAGACTGGTAGAACCCCCAAGACTATGGCCCTTAGACACCCTTCAAGCCAGAAACTGAACTCATCCCCCATGGCTCAACTTCCAGCCAAGCAAAAGACAAGCGTGTAAGATAAACCGTAACAGCTGGGAAGTATGCACTCCTTAAAATTACCAACCATACAGGAACAAAAGGGCAGCATTTTTCCTAGGGATAAACCTCAGGAAGCAGGAAAGGACAGGAAAGAAGGATGAATGGAAATGGTAAACACGGGGAAAAAGTGGGAAGAGTGATGTTACATTGTGGGGACTGCAATCAATGTCATGTATCAAAATGTGTATGAATTGTTGATGGGAAAAATCAAACTGCTCTGTAAACTTTTTCCCAAATCACAATAAAGTTAAAAAAAAAAAAAATAGATGGTAAAAATAAGGATTCTTCTTTTTTACTTTATATTTTTCTATATTTCTTTCTCACTGATTACTCAAAAAGGGAGGTAGAAAACTAAGCAAAATTAAATAATAATTTTACCTGTCAAAAAGAAAATATATTTGATATTTGCCTTTTCTGCACATTATGGACTTAATCTGCTTTACTGTTTCCGAGTGTAAAATGTATTTTAAAGAGCCCCTTATATGCATTTTGATACTCTGTGTCATAGGTAGGTCATGTTTTATTTTCATTTTATGAATTAATCTCTCTGCAAAAGCTTATTAAATGGTATCACTGAATTTTATTACTTTATAAACACCATACATCACAGAGGTTCTAAAAATGTGGCTTTCTGGGATTTTTGTATTAATACCTGCTATTCACAACATGAAAAAAGGCAAACAAACTAGAAGAATATTTGTAATATATGGCAAAGGTTTTAGCACTCTTACATATAGGGAAGAAAAAAAAAACATCCACTGCCATCTAGTCAATTCTGACTTACAACAACCTTATGACAAAGGAGAACTGCCCCATGGGGTTTCCAAGGCTATAAATCTTTACAGAAGAAGACTGCTTCATCCCATGGAGCAACTGATGGCTTTGAACTGCCAACCTTCTGGTTAGCAGCAGAATGCTTTAACCAATGTACCACCAGAGCTTCTTTCATATAAGAGAAGCTATTCTAAATCAATAAGGAAAAAAAAAAAAACTGAAGAGAAAAATGGGAAAGACCCAGGTGTAAAGTAGAGCTGACAAGCGACAAGGTTGTAGTCACCTCTTGGTCACAGCCAGCTACCCAGAGGGAGTGAGTAGTTGGACCTGTGGGCTTGGGACCATAGTCGCAGGGGACATCAAGCTCAATTGGCATAACATACTACACAAAACATTGTTCCACCTCCTACTTTGGCA